GTTTACAAATAATGTAACCACCAAAAATATCAATTTAAATGACCTCGCCATGGTTCAAACAAGGCTCAAACCATACGTCACGGGTCAGTGGCCACCTCTGTAGCCTGCAATCACCTTGTTATGCATCAGCGGATGCGTGCATGCGCATGCAAAATTCCCTCCTGTTTAAACCTGCTATTTCAGAACTCAAAGCTTTATGGAAGGGCATTTACTTAAAAAACAGCCTAAGTAGTATTCCATTGAAATTTAAAGCAGCTGTCCTTTGCACGTCTTCCGACATACCAGCATCACGCAAGCTATGTGGTCTAAAAAAAACCACAGCGCTGAGTTGGGATGTTCCAGATGCTTAAAAAAAATTCCTGGAAACTTTGGAGAAAAACGAGACTACTCGGGTTTTGATCGCGAAGATTTGGAGAAAAGAACTAATTCGGCTCACAGAAAAATAGCAAAAAAGATAAGCAAATGTAAAACCAAAGCCCAAGCAAAAGACCTATCAAAAACGTTTGAAGTGACGTATTACTCTTGTTTGCTAGATCTGGAGTATTTTGATGTCATGAACTTTGGAATGTAACAAGATATGAAATATAAATACATCACGTTCATTAGTAATTTGAGTAATTGTTTAGTACAGTTGAGCACAGATAGAGCGCGTGCATTGTACAAGAAAGAACTTTTAATCAAGGAATAAACTCAAGCGATGAAACAAGTGAAGTTTCTCATCTTTTCCTGACATTTGATGCAATCCGTTTCTGTGCCATAGATCCAATGCATAGTCTGTTCCTTGGTGCTGCAAAAAATTTTTTAAAGACATGGATCAACGAAGGACATTTATCAAAGACAAATTTGGCAAAAATAGAAAAAAGAATCGAATCAGTGGAAGTCCCACCAAACATTGGAAGGCTACCAAAACGGATATCTGCAAACTTTGGATCCTATACAGCAGAGCAATGGAAAAACTGGATCTTGTTGTATTCTATTTTTGCTCTAAAAGATATCATAGACGAAATGCATTTAAAATGTTGGCAAACATTCGTCTTGGCATGCCGATATATATGTAGTCCTGTTTCATCACAAACAGATGTTATCAAGGGGGATGGACTCTTACTCAAATTGTGCAAGGAATTTGAGAAGCTCTATGGGCATTGTGCTGTTACACCCACAGTGCGAAATCCTCAATTTCAGTCAACGGAAAGCTGATGGAATCGTAAGGTCGTAAGGTGGACGATTTATTAGCTTTATGGAAAGGTGTAAAAGTCAATGCCCATGGTGCACCAGAAGGTGGAATAAAGATAAGAGCTGCTCTTCTCTGTTGTGCATCTGATATTCCTGCTGCTAGAAAATTATGCGGATTTCTAGCACACGCTGCACACAAAGGATGTAGTCATTGCCTAAAAACCTTTCCTGGGGGTTTTGGAGAAAAGAAGGATTACAGCGGGTTCACAGATCGGGACAACTGGCCAAAAAGAACAGATGAGCAGCATAGACGAGATGCTCTTAAAACCACTAGATGTAAAAATAAGACT